GCAGAACCGCCCCGCCTCCACCAACCTGGCGAGCAAGTGTTAAGGCGCCCTCGGCCCTTGGTTCAACTCCTCTGAGCGCGGGTCCCCGCCTTCTCCGCCCGGCCGGCGGGGCGGGAAATGCGTCCTGGGCCCAGGGCCTTCCCCGACGAGCACAGCCGGTTGGCAACTCGCTGCGGCGGCGGCCTCCAGGTCGTGCCCATTGCGGGCACAGCCAGCTCGGCTCCGGGTTCCCGCGGCCGGCCGGCGTAAGTTCCCGCGAGGGCCCGCCTACCACTCTCCCCGCCCCGGGAAGGACTGCGCCGCGCCCGGGACTTTGCCGACTCGCCCAACAACGCGCGAGCGGGCGGGCAGCCACCGGGCCGAGCACGGCCGGAAAACGAAAGCGCAGGGCGGGTCGTTGCCACTTTGTCTCCGGCGCCGCGGGCCGGACAGGCGCGAGTGAGAACCGCTGGCCCGACGGGGCCCCAACTGCACAGGCTCCGTAAAAAGCGGCCCGGCTCGCTCAGGCACCCGGGCTCAAGCGCCTACAATGCATTTATGTACACAATTACTACCCATGCATGCACTGATGCACATGCAAACCCAGTAAACTCCGCAGACTCAAGGATGCAAACTTAAACCCTTGCGTGCATGCCCACTCACCCCGACAAGGTGCCTAGGCATGTGCGCGCCCATGAATGCGCGCACTCACGCACACACAATAGGCCCACAGCGCTTAAATTCGCACTCCCTCCCGCTCACGGGTGCACATGCCACGCTCCGATCTCAGCCCACTCGTGGCCCAGATGCCCCCCCACCCACCCACACGCACACTGAAAAGCCGCTTTTTGGTCACGCGGATCAGGCGTCCCACTTTCCAAGCGCAGGTTCCCATTTCCCCGTGAGATGCAAAGGCCCTGGCCGGATGTTTACACGGCTCAACGTAAACACGTTCTAGGGGATTCTTTAATAATAATAATAGAGTTCCGCGTGGGCGGGGGGAGTTGGCCTAACGCTCCTGTGGGCTCGGCCTGCTGCCGCCGCCGGGGGCCTCTGACACCGCGCGCCGGCCAGGTTCCGGAAAGCAAGCGGGCGGGGAGCGCGGGGCAGGGCGGCTCTGGCGGGCTTGGCCGCCCGCCCGAAGGGGGCTTGCACGCACGTCTTCCCCGGTCAGCTTCGCAACGCGGGACTTCGGGCTTGGCTGGGGGAGGGGGTGGTGCCGAGGGCAGCGCGCAGGACGGTGCAGGAGCCCGGGAGCAACGCGGCGCGCACGGACCCGGGTGAGTGTAGTTCGCGCACACTGCAGGGCGCGTGCACGGCCTCTACGGCCAGAATTCGGGGTCGGGAAGAAAGGGTGGTCGTTTTCGCGGGTTAACGCGATAAGTCCGAAGGACGTGCCCCGCGCAAGCTGGGGCTAGCGGCGAGTGTCGGGCTCCCTGCGTGGTCCGCGGCGCTGTTCAAAGCCCGCTGGCTTCTCGGGTTTGTCTGGCCTCCTCGTCCCCCGCCGGCCCCCCTCTTTGCCCGGACGGCTTGAGCCTCGGCGGGAGACGTCTCGTCGCCTTCGGGGCGCCTGGCAGGTCCTTGCGAGGACCTGGGGCCTCGCCGGCGGCGTAGCCAGTCCACTGTCGCCGCCTCCTCCCACGGGGAGAAGAGAGTTATTTTCCTCACGCTGCGCTTCCGTCGGGCTCTCCCGGCCTCGGCTCCGCGGATAGCCTGGCGGCCTGGGAAAGGGTGAGTGTGGGTCGTGGATGCGGAGTGTGGGTGTGTGCTTGCGCAGGTAGACACCCACACGGACTTCCATTTCACACAGTCCACGTAGTATCTACGCCCGCGGACGTGGTCAGCACCGCACGCGGCCCACCTACACGTTCCCAGCGCTCACCCCTCACCCCTCACCCGGCTGCGGCCCCGCAACCTCACACGGACACGCAGGCCGGCCACCCACCAGACACACTTTCAGTGACTTGCTCACACTGGGACACGTGCACTGCGTGTCCACGCACGCCCAGCCGCACACGCGCGCTCACGTCCACGCACACTCGCGTTCTTATATTCTTCCTACACACACACACACACACACACACACACACACACGTGGTTTTTTTTTTTTTTGCCAAACAGCAGCTTCAGGGAAAGAGTCCCCTGCGGCGCCGGGAGGGAAGCTCCCGGGAAGGGGTCGCTACCGCCAGCTGCCGGAGCGCATCTGGCCTTTACAAGAGAGAGGAGCCTGGGATGTCGCCCAGCTCCCCAGCCAGCAAGAGGTGCAGCGCGCATCCCCGCGACTACCCCCTTCGCTGGCTAGCCCCTCCCCCACTGATGGGGCGCCTCCAAAGTAAAGGGGTCTATCGAACATGAGTTAGGGGCCCTTTCCTAGCAGCCCCCTCCCCCTTAGGTCCTTTCCCGTTTGTGGGGGCGCTGCAGATTCAGTCCTTGGCTGAGCCGGGGTCAATTTTCTCTCCCTTTACCATCCTGAAGGAGCCCTGGTGGCGGAGTGGTTAAGCGCTTGGCTGCTAACCGAAAAGTCGGCAGTTTGAACCCACCAGGCACTCGGTGAGAGAAAGATGTGCAGTCTGCTCCGGTAAAGATTTACAGCCTTGGACACTCTGTGGGGCAGTCCTACTCTGTCGTACAGGGTGGCTATGAGTCAGAATCGACTCCACAGCAATGAGTTCTCTACCATGCTGTATGCTATTGTCTTTTTCACCAGCTTCCTTTGGGGGCTTTTGCTTGGGTGTGTTTTGGGGTGGGGGAGCCTCCAGCTTCCTAGGGAGGCAGTGCGGAGTCAGGGCCCCGCCTGGCCCCCACTTACCTTTTAGGGAAGGGTAGCCATCACGGTGTCGGGGAGAGAGGGGACCCAGCTCTGCAGGAGCCTCAGTAATGCGCAGCCGAGGCTCTCTCCCCAACCCCTAATCTCCACCGAGGCTAGAGGTGAAGGTGGGGGCGTCAGAGGGAGGGGAGCGAGCTGCCCGCTCTGTAATTTGTAGGGGACCCCCTCCCTGAATTCTGCGAAAACCACAGCGGTGAAAAGGAGCAGTTTCCTACATGTCCCCGGGAGGTCTCGCCTGATCAGCATTTTGGGTGGGGAAACTGAGGCCTAGTAAGGCACTGGCCTGAGCCGGCTGGTTCTGCTGGTAGAATGTCTTTGCATCTTTCCTCTCCCCCCACCACACCCCGGAGAGAATATAGTTTGATTTCACCCTCCTGGGTGCCTCTTTGCAGGCTGAGAGTGAGAGTGGCGTTCATGTCTTGCCAACAGGCCTTGGCTTCCCAGGCTCCCAGGGACAGTGAGAACCGTTAGGAACTGGGGATAATAAAGTAATAAGAACAGTCACAGCCACTATCATAACTGCACAGACCAATCGCTGACTGTGCGCCAGGCACGGTCATTGCTTTATAAACGCCCCTTGGGAGCGTTTCCTAATCTTTCTGTGGGTGATAAACTCTTTGATAAACCGGTGAAAACTACACTTCCCCTCCCCCATAAGAAGTACAAACCTATGACATTGGTGGGGTGATTTTCAAGCTTTCACCAAATGCCTGGAGCCCATCCATGAACCCACACCCCCCACCTATGAACCCAGCACCCTCATCCACAAACCCAGGCCCCCACCCCCGTTAAAGGCCCCATAGATGCTTGTTTTATCTTCCCAGAAGCCTCATCTAGGTCAGCATTGGCCCCACTCTTTGCCCCTTTACAGATGGGGAGTAGCAAGGCTACCCCATGTCTTAGGTGATCGGATCCAGTCAGGGAGGGCCAGAGCCAGGATCCCAGCCGGGTCTACTGTGGGCTCAGGCATTCAGCCCTCAGACCACAGACCCTTTCTCCACCAAGGTCTGCAGTGGGCAGGGCAGAGACCCTCTTACTGGAGAGGTCTGGACTCCTGCCCCCAGCGCTTGCGGAAGCTACTTAATTTCACTGTGCCTTAGTTTCTTCATTTAAAGAAGGGGTCTAATAACGGTCCCTAGTTCCTAGGGCTGTCTAGAGGCTTGGACAAGATTGTGCCTATGAAGGCGTAGCCCGGGGCTGTTCAAACCCACAGAGGAACCAACAGACGCAAACAAAAGCCCCAGGGGCCCAGCCAGCGACAGACAGGACAGCGCAGGCAGGGATCGCGGCAGATTTTTGCTCGTCATCTTTGCTTAAAGATCCGTAAAGATACCATCCCCCTCATCCCAAGCCAAATCCATGCCCCACCCCCCAGCCCCAGGAATCCCCAAATTGGGGTGGGGGGGTGTAAAAACAGACACGCCTGCGACGTCTCCCTCTCCCCAGGCCGCAGGTATTTTTACTGGCTAATTGCTTAAGTGAAGCC